CTGGTGAGATTATCTCTGTGGTTGGGGGCAGCTATTTGAGGTACGTTGCTCTTAACCTTATCTACCCTCTTCGACACTTCTTACCGTGAGGTTGTGTGTTCCTTCTTGAGAGTCCTCTCATTGTGAGGTGTCGAGTGCACTCAACCTTGAGAGTCGGCAATGTTCACGTGGAGCATCTGGGAGAAGATGGGTGGAGCATTCTGAAGGGCCCTGTGAAGCACTGGGTCACGGTCACCATGCCAACCCACCGGGAGTAGAGCGCGCATGCTTTGCTGCTTGTCCTTTGTTTGGCTTGCTGCGCTGTTAGATAGGTACTGAAGGGCAGGCCAGCCCTAAGGGAGACGAGACCGGGCGTCTTTAAATAAGCACCGGAAGGGGAAGTCATCGGCTGTGATCGTTGTCCTGCTGCGACGTAAAATAATTTCTGATGACACTTGCGGGCGGTCGTTAAATTGCCTCTGGATCACCCAATGATTGTAAGGCTCGCTGCACGCGAGGATAATCCAGTGCAGGGCCAGCTCAGCAGATACTCGGGGCACAGGGGTGGGCCGAACACACACCTTTTAGACACGCAACGCTCTCCGGATCGCTCAGGGACGCTGACGTCAAGTGACATTCAGGGGAACTAAGGGAGGGGTAGATTTCATGTGATAAGTTCGAGTAAAATTCCATACTGTCCTATCCCCACAAACAATTTTATTTTTATGTTTTGATTAGTTAGATGTACAGCCATTTTACATCTGACAGACAGCATAGCAGGACGGTATTATGTTCATTGTGCATTCTGTTCGCGGAGTAATCAGGCTAAAAATAGTTTCGTTTGTAGGAATCTGACTAACCTGTTGACCCCAAGTGTATCTACTCCGAAATAGCCACCAATTAATTAATTGGTCTGTGCACTACACTACGGTAGGCATCCAAAGTGCATTAGTGCAGATTGTGTACAGTGTTGTAGCTTATGAGCGACGAGGAGGACACTAGAGAGGATGATCGGATCTTGCGATCAGCAAGGCGCCCGATTGCCCACTTGGCATTAGGACCAGAAGACGACAGGTACCTGTTCCGCCAGCGTAGAGATAGGTTGCAGCAGCAGAGGAGGGCTAGAGCAGCAGAGGCTAGCAGGGCACTTGTGAGTGAAGCCGTAGCTTCGAAAGCCATGGCCACGTCTGCGCAGCAGACTACTCAGGCCGGTAGTTCAGGATCTGTCGGGTCAACGGTCGCGCAGACCCAGAGTCAGTCCACTGGCGTAATGGCAAGCCAACCAATAGTGTTAACTTCAGACGAGATTGCCATACAACAAGCAGCATTGCAGGAGGCACAACTACAAAAGGCATTAGGAGAGATAAAAGCGGAGAAGGAAAGGATGATTAGAAGAAGAGCCAGGATGCAGCAGAGACAAGCGGACGTTAGTGAGTTAGAGGAGATGGACTTGACGCACGTGACTGATGACGTGAGGATCATACGGTCCGTCCTGCTAAATGTAGTTGAGATGCAGGACCGTCAGACAACCATCCTCCTGGACATTCAACAAAGTCTGGCCCTGTTGGTTGGGCAAGCGCACGCAACGTCGCCAATGTCCGGGCCTGGTGCCTGGCCTGTTGTACAACCTCCTCCTTTTATCCCACCGGTGGCTGGGGTATCCCCATATGTAGCCCCATCATCGGTTGCGATCGTTTCCCTGGGCATGCCGCTATCAGGAGGGATATCAGCAGGATCTAGTTTGCAGGTTCCTGTACAGATAGTATTCACCCAATCTCCGTTGCGGGTTGCGGTTACCACGCAGCGTGCTGTCTCGCAGTCTGTACAGCCGCAGGGTACACAACCCCAACAACCTGTGTCACTAGGTCCACAGCCCGGAGTGATGCGGGGACCGGGACAAACACAGTGGGTACCAAAGACGGCCATCGTTGCTCCCAAACCCTTCACAGGGGATAAGAGGGGTGAAGACCTCGACACGTGGTTGAGGGCAGTGCCGGTCTATGTCAAGTGTAAACTCACCTTGCCGCACGAGGAAGTGCTTGTGGCTGCATCCTATCTAGAGGGTAGTGCAACACGATGGTTGAGCGGTTTAGTGCAACGACAGGGATACGGTCATGACTTCCGCTCTTGGGCAGCCCACCAGAAACTGGAGGACTTCCTCAAGATGGTGGAGGAAAGGTGGCATGATCCTCAGGAGGCTCAAAAGGCCACTGGCGCGATCTTGACACTACACACGACGCAGTTTAAGTCAATCAGGGAGGCCACCGACGCTATGGAGCGTCTGATCTGTGTCCCTGGGTGCTATGACCCCCAGGTTTTACTCACCTCCTGCCTGAGATGCTTTCTATGCCTCTCAGGAATTAGTTGGCAGGTGAGGCCAACATCAATGTGCACAACTTCCCCTCGTTCAACAAGAAGGCCCTAGACCTTGAGGCGAAGATAGGGCATGGACATAATCCCACTACGTACGGTAGGAAGAAGACACTGCCTCCCAACTGGAAGGCGAAGGGCCGCATTATGTTGGTCGATAACGATGGTTCAACCATCGAATTAGATGACAACTTCCAGGAAGGAGTAGGTTCAGAGGCTGGCAGCGTAGAAGCTTCAGAGGGTGGAGTAGTCGCTGTCGTAGCTCAAAAAGGTAAGGCGACCGGTAGACGCCGTGGAGGTTCCCGGTCTAGGAGTCAAGTTGACCCCAATGCTCCTCCATGGGAGAAAGTGGGTCTCACAGAGGACGTGTGGAGAGATCGGTACACGCGGCAGGCTTGCATTCGTTGTGGTCAATACGGCCACAATCAGTTCAAGTGCTGAAACAAGAAGGTGACCGAGAAGATCCCGCCTACGATGGGGCAGGCGTTGGGATCCTCCCATCCCGTTGGTAGCAATGTGGCTAGTACTTCTGGTAGCGCTCCGAGAACAAGTCGGGCCAGTAGGAATAGTAGTTGTTCCTGCTAGGGTTGAGGTGGTGGAGACACCCTCACCATCTCGAGAGATGGCCCAAGCTACTGACTCCAGTGTCGTCCCGCAAACACATTCAGATCCATCGAGCCTTTGTTCGATGAATGTGTTTGAGTCCTTAGAAGAGCTAGAGGAAGAGTGGTCTAGATCAGACCCGCTAGCTTCTTGGACGACCCTAGTCAAAGCCCCGAAGGGTGAGATGTTCGTCAGCGAGGTGGTCATTGGCGGCCGCAAGGCCGGGGCCTATTATGACACTTGCTCGACTAGGAACTTTATTAGTTGCGCGTGCGTTGAGAGGCTGCGCTTACAGGGGCGAGTGCAACGCCTGAGTCGACCTGTGGAGTCGACTTGTGCCAACAAACAGCGCATGGTGGTCAATGACTACCTCCAAGATGTGGAGTGTTGTTTCCCGTACGTGGGAGGAGAATTGAGACATCGTGTCTCGTTCCTAGTGAACGATGAACTCCCCATGGACATGTTGTTAGGTATGTACTACCTCTTTGTGGCACAGCCCCAGTTTGACTGGGACCGAAAAGTGGTCAAACACACTTTGCCAGGTGGAGGGACCGCCAGATTGCGTAAGTTCAAAGCTAGTAGTCTGATTGAGTCCCACGGGTGCATGTGTGTGGCCGCGTTCTACAATTATTATAAGCAAAATCAGGAGGAGGGTATGTATCTAGCTTATGTCTCTGTTGCAGGCGAGCCGGTGAAAATGCCGCCGGAGATAGAGGGAGTAGTTGCCAAGTACCCTCATCTATTCGAAGAGCCGACAGGGGTTGTAGAGAGGGAGGTCGTCCACGCGATAGAGATTATCCCAGGGTCTAGCATTCCGAAGGGTATGATCTATCGGATGTCTCCAGGCGAGCTCGATGAGCTTCGTCGACAACTCAAGGAACTCGTAGAGAAGGGTTGGATCCGACCGAGTGTCTCTCCTTATGGGTCTCCAGTACTGTTCGTACCTAAGAAGATGGAGGGAACACTTAGGATGTGCATTGACTATAGGGGCCTCAATGCCATCACTGTCAAGAACAGAGAGCCCCTACTGCGCATCGACCATTTGCTAAATAGAGTGCAAGGGTGTCGGTACTTCAGTAAGATAGATCTGAAGTCCGGGTACCATCAGATTGCAATCCGGCCCGAGGATCAACACAAAACCGCCTTTCATACCAGGTATGGTCTGTACGAGTTTGTGGTGATGCCTTTCGGCCTTTGCAATGCTCCTAGCACCTTTCAGCATGCTATGAATCGGATATTCTATGACAACTTGGATAAGTTTGTCATCATGTACCTCGATGACATACTTATTTTTAGTAAGACTGTCGAGGAGCACGTTGCACACTTGGACAAAGTCCTCAGTCTCTTGCGACAGCACAAGTTCAAGATCAACGGTGAGAAGTGCGAGTTTGGCCGCACCCGTGTCTTGTACTTGGGTCATGAGATTTTCGCGGAGGGGTTGAAGCCCGATGACGTGAAGGTGGCCAGCATTCGTGACTGGCAGCGTCCTCAGTCTGTGACTGAGATGAGATCCTTCTTAGGGATGACTGGCTACTATCGCAATTTTGTGAAGAACTATAGCATAGTTGCCGCCCCTTTGACTGATCTGACCCGCCTTGACACCCCATGGGAGTGGACTGAGAGATGCGAGGCTGCTTTCAGACATCTGAAGCATGTGTTGATGCATTACGAAGTCTTGAAACTTCCTGATCCTGATAAACCATTTCTAGTAACTACGGATGCTAGCCAATATGGCATAGGCGCCGTACTTGCACAACAGGAGGGGAAAAAGTTGAGGCCAGTAGAGTACATGTCCAAAAAGATGCCCTCTGAGATGTTGGCTAAGTCCACCTATGAGAAGGAACTGTATGCGTTTTACAAGGCTCTGACCCATTGGAGGCACTACCTCCTTGGGAGGTTCTTCATCCTCAAGACTGATCATCAGACCCTGAGATGGATGAGAACTCAGCCGGTACTCTCTGATGCTCTCAAGCGTTGGATCGAAGTCATTGAGCAGTATGACTTCGAGCCCCAGTCCATCAATGGCGAGTACAACAAGGTTGTTGATGCCTTGTCGCATAGACCTGATTTCTTAGGTGCGCTGATTACTGAGTTCAATCTTGCGGACAATGTTACTCAGTCTTTGGTGGAAGCCTATCGCGAGGATCCGTTCATGTTTGAGATCATCCGCAGACTGGAAGCGAAGGACAAAGGTACTTCTGCTGAGTTTGAGTTGGTCAACGGCTTGCTGTTCCTTGAGAAGGCTGGGAATAAACGTTTGTGTGTTCCTAATAGGGAGTCTTTGCGTAGCTTATTTTTAGGTGAATGTCATGATGCCACAAGACATTTTGGATTCAAAAAGACTGCGGCTAATCTGCTGCAGTGGTTCTGGTGGCCCACATTGATGAGGGATGCTAAGTTGTACGTGGAAACTTGTCAGTCAGAGGGACAAGCCACGTACTCAGGCTCCTCTTGGGCTCCTGAAGCCCCTTCCGATTCCGGAAAGGCCTGGTGAGAGCCTGTCCACGGACTTCATGGATACGCTGGTCACCAGCAAGAGGGGAATGCGCTACATCTACGTCATTGTGGATAGGTTTAGTAAGTTTGCTAGATTAGTTGCGATGCCGGCAATAGCTAAAACCGAGTATGTGATTAAGATGTTCAAAGAGAATTGGGTTAGAGACTTTGGATTACCTAAGTCCATAGTTAGTGACAGGGATGTCCGATTCACAAGTGAGTTCTGGGAAGCAGTAGCTGCAGAGCAAGGTACGCAACTGCAGATGACATCAGGCAATCATCCTAAGGCAAACGGGCAGGCTGAACAAATGAACCACGCTGTACAACACCTGCTAAGGCATTACATCAAGCCAAATCAGGTAGATTGGGATGAGAAACTTTCTCTCATCGCAAGTTTGTACAATAACACTGTGCACAGCGCCGGAGTCAGTCCTAACAGCCTGCTATTGACCTTCAGACCCCGACTGCCTTTGGACTTTCTACTACCTGACAATCAACCAACCGCCGCACATGGGGCTTTAGAGTTTGCTTATCGATATGAGCAGCTGATGCAGCAGGCTGTTGAACAGATGCACAAGGCACAGGCGGCGATGATAGAGTTTGAGAACAAACACCGCCGCCCATCTACGTTTCAGGTAGGAGAGAGAGTCTAGGTCAAGTCCTCAGAACTGGGACAGGAGCACGGGATCCCCCGCAAGCTCATGCCACAGTACTTTGGACCGTGGGAAGTATTGGATGTCGTGGGGAATGAACCGGATGGCCCGTCGTATGTTATTCGCATCCCTGGTCACTTACGCACTTACCCTGTCTTTCACGCCTCCAAGCTTGCACCTTTCAAGGAAACAGATCAGTTTCCTTCTCGACGCTCAATGCTGCCCCCAACCATGGATGGAGAGGTGGACAAAGACGACATCGTGGATCACAAGGAGCTGCCCGCTCCAAGACCAACAGGCAGGGGACGTCCTCCGAAACCGAAGCTGCGGTACCGAGTTCAGTTTCGACATCATCTGGATCCAAAGGAGGACCGCTGGTTCACTAGTGAGGAACTCATGCAGACCACTCCTCAGATCGTAGCTCAATTTGAGAAATCTCTGCAGAAGGGAAAGCGCCAGATCATCGAAGATTGAACTTCTCAGAGGACTAGCCAAGTTATGGAGGAGGGAATGCGATGCTTTTGCCCCTATGAGCCCCTTTCAGGCCCTGCCCAGTATCACGTCGGCTGCCCTAAGTGAAGGCAGGCACGACGAGAGCCTGAGGGCCCCTATTTTGGTCACCACGCAACTCAAGGAAATTCAGGCAGTTGTGCAGCACCAGTTGGTTGAGAGAACCCAGGCCCTGGGCCGCCTGTGTGAATGTATGGAAAGCAGGCCCTGGGCTGGATACGGGTACTGGGACAAACACTGGCCAAAGGCAGTTGGGTGTATGCAACCACCTCAGGCCCAAGGCCTGTTCTCATATGTGTTGGGCCTCACACCGGGGCCTACTGGAAGCTTCCTGGGACTGAACGTAGGCAGGCCACTTCGATATAGCAAAGGGCCTGCCTCCGCATTTGGCATTCGGGTGCTGGCTGCATGCTGCATGCTGCACAAGCGCTGCTGCGCTATTTGCTGGCTGGCGCCTACGCGCTCACGGGCGAGCAGGGAAGGAGCAGGCAGCCATAGCCAAGCTGCGCTGCTGTAAGCTGGGTGTGGCGCAGGGTGGTCCTTGGGTGCAAGTGGCATCTGTGTGTTGGGGAACGAGGTTGTGAGTGTGGCGAGAGACATACCTGGTGCTGGAAGCGTGCGACATTGGTCGCTGTATGCTCGTACTTCGGGAAAGCTGTTGACGTCATCATTCAGCATTGTAGTCTAG